GCTATGGCAACGTGTGAGTTAGTTTGGGTCAAGCAGTTGCTCAAGGAGTTAAAGTTCAGAGAAATCAGCAGGATGGAACTAGTGTGTGATAACTAAGCTGCTCTTCATATTGCGTCAAATCCGGTATTCCATGAGAGGACTAAACACATTGAGATCGACTGTCACTTTGTCAGAGAAAAAATACTTTCAGGAGATATTGTTCCAAAGTGTGTAAAGTCGAATGATCAACTAGCAGATATTTTCACTAAGTCTCTTACTAGTTCTCGTATTAGTTACATGTGTAACAAGCTCGGTACATATGATGTGTATGCACCGGCTTGAGGGGGAGTGTTACATATGTAGTCTTTCCCACATTGGAATAGGAGTGGTATGTCTTGAGGGGGAGTGTCCTTGTATAATATAGCTATAAATAAGGACCTCTTGTATTGTATTGAATACACAATATCAATATATCATATTTTCTCCCGTGCCTTTTCACAAAAGGAATATGCTTTACCACAGGGACACCGTGAAAGACTATGCAGAGACAGAACAATCAGTACAAGAAAGAGAATCACATAGACGGTGAACAAGGTGGAACGTGCACATCTAGCTCCTTGCATAACCTACTTCTATTCTAGATGGTCATGATATACAGTTAACAGCTGCAAACTGGTTGCAGAAAGCGCACCTTCCCCGACAATCTGCACATTCCCTATTTTCTGGAAGCTTAAGAAGGCCCTCCAATATCTGCAATAGTGAAAGGTACACACTAAGCTAGAAAATCATACATGAGAGCGCAGAAAAGCCAAGTGTACCAAAAATTTGAAGAAAAAAGATCACTAGTGACAAAGAGTTTGATTCAAAAGGATATAACCAGATAAACAGACTTTCCAATTATATATGCATATAATTTCTTACTTCAGACTTTCTTCCTCTTAAAAAATGTATATCTGGTTATGGCAAAAGCTATGTGGCAACTGTCATACTAGTTCATGGGCAATTTCAAAAAATTAAACCCCTTAACACAAGATAACTATGCAGTGGAACATGGTAATCCACCTTGTCCTATGAGTCTTCAATATCAGGATATGTCACCATCTCAAACATGATGAACTTTTCTGCCAGTAAGATGGGCTGAGGGAAGGGGCATGTTAGATCAAGGATGAGAATGATCCTATCCAACTAAGCTATGTAGCAAGCCTAAAACAAATATAGCTTTCACAAATGAATGCTCATCCTACTAATCAAATTTCTGAAGTTGCCACAGTGCAGATTTAATAAACTTAAAATGGTATAAAACTGAATTCTTAAGAGAAGGAAGTTTTCTCAAAACCACATTATAGCTCCACAAAAGGATTCTAAGATGGTTCCTTGGCTTCTTTTCCCTGTCAGAAATTATTAATCACCTTCTGGAACAAATATATTTGTCCTAATCAGGGAGAGTTAGCCTATATTAGTTCAGTTTTTTTATTAAATAGGAAAAAACACACAGGCAACAAAGGTACTAGGGTGGTAAGTGCTGAGGAGGCGAAAGAACAAATGAAGTTTGATAGAATTAAGACAAGATGGACTTAGGAGCAATATCTTTTAACCTTGTCTTAAGGTAAATTTTTGTTTATAGTCAAATCCATTGTTTAGATGTATATGTTTTTTGACTCTAGTCATTTTTCTCAATTTGCTTACATAGTGTAAATGCTGATACTATCAAATCACAAACGTCACAATAGGTTGTTCCTAAAGTTAAATTAGGAACTAACTGTTAGATTGGTAAAACACTAACATTTGTGTGATCACTGCCAGACACAACAACAAAAAAATTGTTTTATTTTAAGTGAGATGATTTTGCAAAAGTCTTTCTTTGATGATATCTGATAGTCTTTTAAGATTTCACTGCTCTAAGAGATAAATACTTATATATTGTATTGTAACACAATTACCGACTTTGGCCAATTCAACCTAACAAGTTCTATCAGAAACCTTGACTATCTGATAGTAGTTTTACAGCTATAGCTCATATTGACTGCTAAAACTAACAGTCAATGGTCGGATTATTCTCGAACATTTTTCGCCCCCAAGACATTGGTTCACAACAAAAATATACAACTTTGGGATGTGTGGTAGGCTCACATCACATGTTCAAATCCTGCTAGGAGAAGTCTGGTATCTAAGTGGAGAAGGGCAGAGGGATGCACCCATATACACCAAGTTTCAGAACTGCAAATAGAAACTTTTTTCTTAACCAAAGCACGTCGCTGTCAACTAAAAACAAAGCTTTTTCCATGTAAAATCTAGAGCAATGTGACAATGAATTCAAGGCACATATCTAACTGAAAAGCATTATGAGCTAGTATATTGACATTACTACCAATGTTTAATGTAATGAATAGTCAGTCTTTCCTTAGGTCTATCTTCTCCTCCAGTAGAAATTGCCAAATATTGTTCAAACCTTCTTTGGAATAACAAAGTTTCAAGTAGAATGTCTTTAATTAGCTTTTAAGCAATAGAGCAAAAGCTAACTACTGAATGAATTAGCGCCAATTGCATAACCTTGTTTAAAGGAGAAATTATCAGAATGAGGGAATTAAATCTGTTTTCTTTGATCATAAAAGATTATAACTAATCCAAACCTCGATAGTATAGACAAAAAGTAATGATAACACTGGGGACATTTTAATCTCTTCTCCTTGTGATTGTACATTAGTCGCGGGGCTGGTAAATGCATTGCATTCAATTGTATTGCTGGTAATTAAATTACTCTCAACGGTACAGCACAGCGACGCTATTTGAAAAAGCAAAGTAATCAACACAAAAGGATTGGTAGGGAGAGCTTCCTCTTTAACGGGACTTACACAAACAAAAAAACTAATGCGGATACCGAACAGTGACGAGAAACCAAAAAAAAAAGAAAAAGAAAAAGCATAGCAGGTAAGAAACAGGGGGCTATACCTTTGCATGTTTGGCATTAAGCTCCTTGGAAACGGAAGCCTTGTCGTTCATGGCTGCTATTTGGTTCCAAAATCCAAAACAGAACAACAAGGGCTAAGCTGATAAACGCAGAAGAGAGAGAGAAAACGATCTCCCTCTCTGGGATTGGGGATGAGGTGGTGGGTGTAATGTGTATTGTATTCTCTTTTTTTCTGAATGGTTTTCGATCGTGGAATGGGGAAAACCTCTTCAAACGTTCAAAGGAAAGCAGTTACTTTACATTCCTTAAACCGCGGCTTCGTTCATAACGGCAACTCCAATTCCTAACCCATCAACACCACTCTCTTCTCCTCTCCCATCACTCACACACACACCACGTCGCATATACCTTTCTTTACGCCAAATCCTATTCCAGTATTATGTTACCGATAAATAAACAATAAATTAAGGTGAGAATATACCTTCATTAATTATATTTAAATAGTAAAACTGTTTGTAATAAACACCTTACTTTTTAGCATTGATTTAGTGCAATATATCATATATAAGTTATACTCTCCATTTAAAAAGAAAGAACTTAGCAAAAACAAACAAAGAAAGAAAAGTAAACAAAACGAAAGAATAATAAGGATAGGCGGAAGAATTCATATTCTTGTGCCATTTATCATTTTTCTCTTTTAAATATTTTTTCCTTGTATTAGTCTGACACGCTTCCCAATAATTATTTCTTTATTATATTATTTTAAAAAATTGTATGATACCGGATTCAAAAAAAAATTAATTTGAATTTCCCATTTTAACATTATAGCCACAAAAATATTATGTTATGTTTAAGAATATAAAGTTTTATAGTCAAATGCTCTACTTTTTGGTATGTCTAATAGCCTTTTTGGCAAGCCTAAAAAGTAGGCTTATTTTGAAAAGTATTTTTTCTCAAAAGTATTGAGAAATATTTTGTGTTTGACTAATAATGTTTAGCCAAGCTTTTAAAAACTTCTTCTAAATGTATTTTTCAAAAGTACTTTTGGAGAGAACTACTTTTTCCTATTATGCTTCTATTGAAAAGCATTTTTTTTCTAAAAACTTGGCCAACACTTTAACTTTGAAAAAAATATTTTTTTTGGAAAAAAAATACTTTTGGCTCGGAGAAACTTAGCCAAACAGGCTATAAATTGTGATGTTTATCAATTATCTATCGAACTCTTTCTTTTAAGATCATTTTCACAACAATTAAAATGTATAGGAGAAACTATTACTTAGCTCTTGGACCAAAATGTTTTTTTTGGGTTCAAAAGATAAGCATTTATTGCAATTAAATTAAGCGTACAGAGAATTTATGCATAAACTGCATCCTACTAGAATACACACTATTAGATAATACACAACTACTAGATAATGTGTCATTACACAAACCCCTAGTATTACTATTATCATCTACAGCAAACTTGCATCCTTTGGCTGAAGCATCAGTCTTTGTTGGAGCAATGTCGGAATCAGGCAAAACATGTTCTGGCGCTGTAGTTGTTAGTAACATTAGATACCTGTCTTCTTCAAAAACTTGTCTTACAAAACCTGGGATTGTATCAAAAATATACTGGACATAGTTATCTCCAAAGTTGCTTGCTTCCTTAGCTAGTAGATCTGCCACCCTATTTTGTTCTCTGTATGCATGTTGCACTACTGGTTTATCTAACTTGTCTAGGAGGTACCTGCAGTCAATTAATATATTATCAAACAACATATTATTAGATTGAATCATTCTAACAATCTCTTTCGCATCCACTTCCACCTCCAGTGGTTTCAAATTATGTTCATGTGCAAGTGTAAGACGAAGTAGCAGTGCATGTAACTCCGCTGACATAGCTGTATTTCTTGGGATTGAAGCAGCAAATCCCAGCACCCATTCTGCTTTTGAATTTCTAATTAGTCCACTGATGCCAGTATTTGTATCCGAGCAAGACCCATCTGTATTAAGTTTATAAAACTTATCCTTTGGAGGAATCCACTTAAGATTAGGCTGCCGTGTTCTAACACATTTATGACCTTTAGTTGTTAAATAAGTGAACTCAACAGCCTGCTGAGTTGTATGGCCAATGGAAGCTCTCTCAGTACTATGATTGTAATTAATTACGTGTTAACCATATGTTCCATAGGCTTAGTGGTACAAATGAGCGCGAGGTAATGTGATAAGGAAACTTAATGCCCTGACAATAAATGAATTCATGCAACCAGTTATTTGGATGCGTGGTACTAATGATTTGATCAATACACTGGTTGATGCCCATTTCCTGCCAGTATGCTCTAGCACTGTTGCAGCCAAGAAACAAGTGTTTTACTGTTTTATTTTCTTGATGACAATGTTGACAAGTCACATCTTGAATTAGATTAATATTTTTAAGGTAATCTTTAGTAGGGAGTCTATTATGATATAGAAGCCAAATAAAGCCTTTGATTTTGGGGTGTATAGGGAGTTTCCATATCCAAGAGTATTTTATATGAGTATCAATGGATTGGTATAAGTTAGTAGACAAAATATTGTACATAGAATTAGTAGTGAAGTTACCTTTTGGCGTTAGACCCCAATATATAAAGTCATTCTTAGGATAATATTTAGGAACGTATGTGTTCAATATTGTTTGTATAATAGCTGATGGCAAGTCAAATGGAAAATTATTCAAATTCCAGCACCCGTCATTTAATAGAGAAGAAATCATAATATTTTGATGGCTAGCAGGTATTGGTCCTTGAATTTGCGATCGCATTGTTGTACCTTCTTTAATCCAAGGGTCCTCCCAAAAATTAATATGCGTTCCTTCTCCTATTTTCCATTTTAAACCCAATTGACATTGTTGCCAACCATGGAGAATATTTGACCAAATTTTTGATTGACTAAAAGTATGTGATTTCTTAATATATTTATTTAGAAGAATGATGGCCCACATAGAATTAGGATCTTTAAACATTCTCCAAGATAAACTAGCCAGTAAAGCAGAATTGTTGTGGCTAAGTTTTTGAATTCCTAGTCCTCCTTCTGCCTTTGGGAGAGTTATTGTATCCCATTTAACAAGGTGTAACTTCTTTCGTGTTGAGGTAATGCCCCATAAAAAATTACGCTGATATTATTCCATTTTCTTTATAATGGAAGAAGACAATCAAATGAATTGCATGATATGGTTTGGCAATTGATTTAGAGTTGATTTGATTTGAATAGTTCTTCCTGCCAAGGTGAGAAAATTAATTTTTCAGCCTGCCAATTTGTTTTTAAAATTAGCAAGGAGAAATTGAAAGTCTTCCTTTTTTTATCTTCCCAAGATCATGGGAAAACCCAAATATTTCCCAAACGAGGTACCTTCCCTAATACTAAAGGAGCTTGTATTAAAAGATTTATCAGGGTTGCAATTTTTAGAGAATAATACTTTAGACTTTCCAAAGTTGATTTTTTGTCCTGAATGATGTGAGAAGTTATTCAAAATATCAATTATAGCATGGCAACTCTTCATACTAATTTTGGAAAAAAGGATAATGTCATCCGCAAAGAAGAGGTGTGAGATTTCTGGACCATTCTTAGATAGTCGTATTGGCTTCCACTGAAGATAATCTACAGAACAAGATATGCTATGTGATAACATTTCCATGCACATGATGAACAAGTATGGTGATTGGGGATCTCCCTGTCTTATACCCCTTGTTGGTGTAAAGAATTGAGTTTTGGAGCCATTAATTAGAACAGAAATAGATGTAGTTGTAACACAAGACATGATGAGTGATATTATAGAGGGAGGTAGATTAAAGTAGAACAAAGTTTGTCTAATAAAAGACCATTCGAGCCTATCAAAGGTTTTTTTTAAGTCAATTTTTAGGAGTATAGAAGAACATTTTCCTTTCATTTTTGCTAAGTAATTTAAACATTCTTGTACTATTATAGCATTATCAGAGGCTCTTTTCCCTTTTTGAAAACTAGTTTGTATTGGACCAATAATATTATTAATAATAGGTTTAAGCCTATTGACAATAATCTTAGTGATAAGCTTGTAAACAATATTGCGAAGACTAATAGGTCTGAATTGATAAATAGTAGTAGGATGCTTTACCTTAGGAATTAAACATACTAAAGTTTTATTTAGTTCTACAGGAATTTCCTTCGAATTAAAAATATCCTTACAGAATTGAGTGGCTTTCCCTCCTACGTCTAGCCAATATTTTTTTATAAAAGAACGAATGCAAACCAAGCTTTGTAATGCCAAATTAATTTCCTCTTGATGTAGTGGTTCGTTAATACTATTAATAGTAGTAGAACTATGACAGTAAGTAGACGAAATGTTATGACATCTAGTAGATTAGGTATGATCAGTGTGAAAAAGATTGTAATAGTAATTCAGAATTAAATTATTTAATTCACTAGGATTTGAAATCCAGTTACCTGCCTCATCTTGTAATGAATTTATCCTATTTCTCCTTTGTCTATGAAGAGTAGATATGTGATAGAATTTAGTATTGGCATCACCATCATTTAACCAATAACACGAGATTTTAATTGCCAAAATTCCTCTTCTACGCGCAAAATGTTGTTGTACTCTAAATTTAACTGGATTTCTAAATTTTGTAGAAATATGCTAGTAGGATAATGAACTGAAGATTGTAGCCCAGCTAGTCTAGCTAAAATCTTTCTTTTTTGTTTAAAAATATTACCAAACGTAGTTTGATTCCATCTTGTGGCTACTGCCTTGAACTTATTAATAGTAGGCATAAGAGGCAAATCATCCGACCAAGTATCATGAACAAGTTGTTTAAATTGAGGATGAGAAGCCCACATAGTTTCAAACCTAAAAACCTTATTAGGAATTAAACATGTAGGATCTAAACTAATTAAGATTGGACAGTGGTCAGAATGAGTCCGTGGAAGATGCTTTACTGTAGCTTCTGGATATAAGTTTATCCAATCATAATTAGCAAGAAAACGATCAAGCCTTTCTAATACTGTATAGCCATGTCTTTGTTTATTAGTCCACGTGAAATGACTACCTTGATAACCTAAGTCTATTAATTTGCAGTGATTCAAACACTTAGCAAATTTGTCAATCCTATTATTCCTTACAAGTAGCCCCCCAAATTTTTCCTTCTCTTCTAATACTTCATTAAAATCACCCCCAATTAACCAAGGCAAATTATAAGCATCATGCAAGTTAATTAAATTTTGCTAAAGAATATCACGTAACTGATAATTATGACTAGCATATATGGAAGAGAATATCCAAGGAGGTTTAGATAGA